GATGAAAGGCTGACCCAACTATCCTGGAATTTGAACTCGTGATTCCCTGAAGTAAAGAGATATCAAAATTGATACTGAAACATCTAAATCATCCTCCACAATTTCATGTGTCTCCAGGCCAAACCAGCAAAGCAGCTAGAGCACATCCTTTTCTACAGGTAAAGAGCTGATATCTGGATGATCTTTCCAATTATCTGCTCCTCTGTTCCCCCCCTATTTTGCCCTTTTTAGGAGAAGGTCAATGCTGAATTGGGATTTTTCCTATACAATAGGCTGCTGTCTACGGCCATACCACCCTGAATGCGTCCGATTTCATCTGATATACAATAGGCTGCTAATATTCCATGCTGGACATTATTTTCCCAGCATTTCTTATAGGGTGCCAGGCTTTTCTTAGACTTTATGTCATACAATACTTACTTGTTTGGAGTAGTTGAAATGGAAACATAGTCTATTGAAAACATCACTGCTTCCTCTCTGAAATTTAAAGAGACTATTATCATCCTTCTTTTAGATACTGTTTCTCAGGCAAAATCTCATAAAGATAGGTGGGGCAAAAAGAAGGGCTTATGATATCCACAGGGTTAGCTTTTGCTAAATGAATACTGTGCTACTAAAGTCCTATCAATAATAATATAAATGGGGCCCAGCTCACTCTTGTGGTAAGGGACGGTACACCTCCGTAGTTTAGAGTCTTGCCTTACCCTCTAAACAAGCATATAACCACCATCTGGGATCATGGGCAGCTTATAACATTGTCAATTATTATTATTGGAAAGATATTTGGACCTTGAAGCACCCAATAATGTTTTATCTTTTGGGGAAGCAATATGGTAGAATGGCTAACTGGTGAGTTCCAGAATCAGAGGAAACTGGTTGTTTAGCTTTTCTAAGCTTCAGATTCCTTAAAGGTAAAGTGAACAAGACATATTATCCATCCCCAAGAGAACTAGGAAAATTAAATAAGAAAAATATGTGCAATTAACATATATAATGTAGTGCCCAGCCCTGAGCGAGAGAAGTATCTTATTAAAATAATAAATTGTCTAATTATTAGTCCTAGGTCTATCAGTTTGTTTTTATGTGACCTCAAGCAAGTCACCAAATCTCAGCAAGCCTTAGGTTATAAATAAGACTTACGCAAATAATATCACCTTACTGGAGATTACCATGTAAACTATAAAGTGTCTGCAAATGTTAATCAAGGTTATTGTTACTGCCATTGTTATTAGCTCTCAGTGATCTTTTCAGTCCAAAAGTTTGTGGATTGCTTTCTTTTGTAAAGCCGGGAGCTAGGATAAGAGCCAAGAGACAATGGGAGAATGTGAATTTCATGTAATACTTCAGGGCATTCACCAGCTTCCTAAATATCTGTGTATGGTACACAATATGTTACTATGTATATCACAAATTAAGATGTTCTGAAACTTATTCCCTGATGAATTCGTTAACATTTCCTTCGAAGTGATAAATTTCCTCAACCAACCTGAGTGAGCTAAAGGGCCAACACTTTTTTTTTTTTTTTAAATAATCTTACCTTCCCTGGTGTCAATAGGAAACAATATTTACTCACTACTGTTTTCCTTTCAAAAATCTGTCTTGTTGCATACTAGAAACAGTGTCAGCTGGTTTGTTTGTCTTGGACAAGCTGTTGAAGTGAAAAGTTTTTGCTTGGCTGAATGTGGGACAGTTTCATAACCCTTCAAGAAGTGCATTGAAGGTGGGTGCCAGTTCCGGCTGCTTCTAACATGCCTCCACTTGCTGCCCATTGTCAAGGGTGGCCAATGTAATTAAATTAAGACAATAAGCAAAGCAACAGATGCGACTGAGACCAAATCCCTGAGTGCTTTTGTTTTGTCACTGTCATTGTCTGCAACAAAGAAGTCACATGTGAGAGCCTGGGAAGGGAGCCAAATGCAAACCAGACAACAACCCAGCTGGTTTTGAATGGCCTCCACCTTACGCGTGTGTGCATGGGAACCATGCTACTTGGAGCAGTGTCTGCTCTACTCAAGTTAGTTTCTGCCCATGGCTTTGCTGCAGGGCTGAAACAGACTCAGAAGAAATAGGCCAGATCCCTGTGCTCAGACTGACACTTTACACCACTGCTTTGAGAGAAAAGAAGAAGAATCTCTCTGTTGGGGAAAAGGATACAATCCATATGGTTAATCCATATGGTTAATCAATCTAACCTCAATCCTTTTTGCTACAGCCTTCATGAATTTGAAGAGGGATGGACATATAGAAGATACCTGAATTTTTTCTTCTGTAAATCTGGGATTAATTTGGCTTGAGAGAAAGACTGGAGATTAAACACCTCATCTTTTAATTTGTTACTATTTCATTCTTGAGCATTTTTCCTAGTGTGCTCATTATCCAGATTCTTAAAATCTTTTTCTAAGCTGGTATGCCTGTTAAAGAGAAAACAAGGCAAACTCAAATTAGCATATTTTTAGATCTGTTATTTAATTTGATTAGTAGTTTGGTAGAGAAGTGGTATCCTTAATAATGGCCGTGTGGGGGTTTTGATGAGCCACATACCATCTGCAGGGTCCACTGCATACTAAACAGAAATGTTTCAAGGAGTTGGGGACAATAGTGATCCAACTCTGTAGCCCCATTTGTTTTTCTTCCATTTTTCAGGAGAACTCCTTTAAGAATGCAGATTGGTGGGGGGTGGGAGGGATGGGGTGGCTGGATGATAGACATGGGGGAGGGTATGTGCTATGGTGAGCGCTGTGAATTGTGTTAAGAATGTTGAATCACAGACCTGTACCTCTGAAAAAAAAAAAGAAGAAGAAGAAGAAGATAGTAGGAAGGGCAAAATGAAGGGGGGGAAATCAGAGGGGGAGGCGAACCAGGAGAGACTATGGACTCTGAGAAACAAACTGAGGGTTCTAGAGGGGACGAGGGTGGGGGGATGGGTTAACCTGGTGATGGGTATTAAGGATGGCACGTATTGAATGGAGCACTGCGTGTTATACACAAACAATGAATCATGGAACACTACCTCAAAAACAAATGATGTAATGTATGGTGACTAACATAACATAATAAAATAAAAAAATTTAAAAATGCATCTAAAAAAAGAAAAAAAGAATGCAGAATAACATGTAAGATTAGGAATATAAATTTACTGGTCGCTTAACAGTGGATATTTTTATATCAACAAACGCATGTTAAGTGGACTTGGTGAAGTTGTATGGTATCTGGGGGAAAAGTGCCAGTATTTTAAACAGATGCATTTCAAGCTATCCTATACAAATGTCAAACTTCTTCCCACAAGTTTTCAATGGCCACTGAGCTAGTTATTTTAATAAACATATTTACACAATGAAACTATCTTCCCTCTATTTAGTCAGTACGGGATATTGACCATCAACTTACTAAGTGCTAACTAGCTTTTTTGAAGGACTTGATAACTCTAACATTCCAGGTAGAGCTGAAAAATATGTGTAAGAAAAATATGTGTAAGAAAAATTACCAAATCCCTATGGGCCTTAGCCAATAGGTTTTATTTCCAGGGATTGTAGTCGATTCTGTCCCAGCTTCTCACACCCTGCAGGTCTCAGGTCTGAACAGTTTCCAAAGTCCTTTACAATGACCTATAAGTTCCTAAGAATGATTGGGTTGAGAGGTCATTACTTTAGCCAGAAGGAAGAATTTGGAGATTCCAGACACCATAGTGAGAACTCTTATTTTTGGTCATGATGAAAACATGTTCTGGGAGAAAGGGATATTGTGGATTCTTGAACTTTATTCTGTACCAATAATGATTCATTATGTCCTCCTTTAAGGGCCTCCTCGTTAGAGGTGAAACCAAGAGAAAAAACACCTTATGTTTATGCATGCAGATGCCATTTCCTCCCGGATTTAATCCACATCTTCTTATTTGTATAAACTTTGCTATTTAAATATATTCAAGGATAAAATAATAACTATAGGAAAAGCACAATGACTTGATTATACACATTATTAGAGGGCCCAGTATAGTCATTTAATTCATTCTATAGCTATTTATTGGGCAACTGCAATATTTCAGGCATTGTTTTAGAGAAAGGGATATTAACAGTGAACAGACAGATGGGTCTCTACTATATAGGCCTTCTATTCTAAGCAAAACTCGATATTCCTTGGATAACAGCATTGCTTGCTAATAAGTGAATGGTAGCACCAAAGCAAGGAACCCAGGGTTTTTAGTGCAGGAATGGTTTCCAATGAAGATGAAATAATAATAACAAGTAAATAATGATAACTAATACTTATATAGTGCTTACCATGTGCCAGGCCTATTATAAGTCTTTTAGGTACTAATTCTTTAATTCTTAATCCTACAAGGTAGGAACTATTATTATGCTAGTTTATAGATGAAATTGAGACACAAGAGATTGCCACTTGCACAAGTTCACATAACTAAAACTGAAAGAGTCAGGATTTGAACCCAGCTCAGTATATTTGTGATTTTACAGATTCTAAGTCAATTATAAAACTTCCCAATCTTCTACTTCTAAAACTCTCCCTTTCTCCATAGGAGAAAAAGAAGAAAATGAAAAATGTCTCCTTTTTACAAAAATTAAACCAAAACAAAATGCAGTAAAACTACAGAGGATGATCCCAGAATGTGTTCCTTTTTTTTCCCCCCTCTTAGTAGGAAAAGATGCCACAGGCCAGAATTCTGGATTTTTCATTCTCCTTCTGGTCAACGAGTCCATGATAGTGGCAGATGAATAGAAACACATTTCTGTGTGATTATAAAGCAATCTGTAGTCCCCATGACACCAGGGACACATAAAAGTAGCCTGAGTAAAGTTTGACACTAAAAACTAAAGGCCTATCTACTTACATATGTCTTTCTTAGAAAAAAAAAAAGGCTCAAGGTGTCCGTGAAATTGACTGATGAAGCATCAAATATGAAAGGCTGAGACCCAGTGTTAGAAATAGATGGGTAGGGTACATAAAACTTCATCAAATTAATGTCACTTTTTCTCCCTTATTTTTAGGAAGTACATTTGAAGAACGCAAGTAGAGGGAGTGCAGGAAACAAGAACTACAGAATGTAGGAAGACCTTCCTGAATTGTGAAGAATGACATGCCACCGGCAGGATCATTTGCTCTGTAGGAGTTACCTGATAAACATCAGAAGACTTACCAAAAAAAAATAAGTTTGATAACATTTCAAAAGACGGGCATTCCCCCCAATGAAATACGCAAGTAAACATTCCAACATTGTCTTTAGGAGTGATTGTTAAAAGCTTTGCACCTTGCAAAAATGGTCCTGGAGTTGGTAGATTGCTGTTGATCCTTTATCAATAATGTTCTATAGAGAAAAATATATATATATAAATATATCTTAGTCCCTGCTTCTCAAGAGCCACAAATGCATGGGCGTTGTATAGATCCAGTTGCACTAAATTTGTTTCTGAGTCTTGGCTGCTGGAGCCATTCATTCAGCAGTCTTGTCTAAGTGGTTTATTCTTTTTTTTTTAATTTGCACTTCTTTCTACGCAACACAGGCCATTTGTTTTACATTGTCTGATAATCTTGTCTATATTCACCCTCCCCCCACTTCATCTTTATATTTGCCAAATTTGGCCTCCTCAAGAGCAGCAACAAGCAGTCAAGTAGCACACCCAAAAGATTTTAACCCAAAAGATTCCATCTGTGGCATTTGTACCAAATATAAGTTGGATCCATTTATTTTAGACACAAAGCTTTATTTTTCCACATCTTGCTAAAAAAAATTTTGAGGCCAATCATTTTTAGGCATATGTTTTAAGCATAGAAAGTCTCAAACTCTCAACACTTCCTTCAAATGATGAGTTAATGTGCAACCTGATTAGTAACTTCTCTTTTTATTTTTTCCATATAGAGCACTATGTAAATTTAGCATATCAAGAATACAGGATATATCACAAACAGTATGTAAAACTCTGTTTTTTTAGTACAATGGTGCTATTTTGTAGTTTGTTATATGAAAGAGTCTGGCCAAAACTGTAAAAGGTGAAAGCAAAACAGAAGAAGCCTGGAGCCCAAGATGATACGAAGGGGAAGGGTCCTAAAAATCCATCCATTTGGGAAAGAAGGCAAAATTCTCCCAATGATGACTTCCAAGAAAAACTTAAGACACAAAGTCTGCTAATGCAAATTTGACTGGGGAGTCCAGAGAGGAGTGGAAAAAGCAGAAGGCTAGGAATTTAACAGTCCTGGCTTCTATTTCTCACTGAAGAAATAAACATTTGCCAACTCTGTCACGGACTCACCATTGTGCGACTTTGGGCAAGTCACTTCACCTCTCTGTGCCTCAGTTTCCTCATCTACAAAATGGGGGCAAAACGCCATCTACCTACCTCACAGGGGTGGTATGAAGATTACAAAGATAAAGCTCCAGATTTTATTCTGGGTTGCTATAAGGGCACATGTTCAGAGCCCTTCAGTTGCTGGAATGCAAGGAATTGTAGAAACAACCCATTCACCGCATAACTAGGAAACTGATCAGCTGAATGTTCCTGACGTGCTAATTCTTGTCAATGTAGCTATCCCACAAACTATCCAATTATCTAGTTGTTAAAAGCTGCCAGCTCCATCTCTTTTAAAACCCTTTCAAAATAAGTAAGAAATATCTGATTTACAATCAGATCTGAATTCTGCATTTGGATTTATGAATACAAGTGCAAAGAGAGAAAGGAAAAGAAAAAAAAAAAGACTTCCACCAGTGAAAGAGGGACTATTCCATCTGTTAGCACTCATTGACTCACCCAGGCAGTTACTAGTAATCTAATAATACTTATTGTAATATTATAAATGATACTCTGTTCATTTTGAACAATATAGTTATTCCTTCTCTTTGGGTAACCACCTAAAAAAAATGGCCCAGGATTTCAAATATTGAAATAATATCTAATTCTAAAAAAATCACAAAATCACTTTCTTTAATAAATTTTGCTCTTATCCTTAGCTATATTTACATATACACTTTTTTAATTTTTGTTAAAATATGCTTGACTAGAGTTGCTAGTTGAGAGGCAAAATTTTCCTTTAGAACTAGAAATTTTCTTTTATGTCTGCTGACAAGAGTGACCCCTGGCCCTCTGCGGATGCATCTTATCCATTCAACTGAAAATTGATATCAAGAAAATCCAACAGTGAGGATAGGCCCATGGTGACCTAGAAAATGTTTCCCATCTACATTTTAAGATTTTCTTATTAGAACAATGAATCATCCATCATTCAGATCTTTTTATCTGCCTTCAAACTTTTTGGTGAAAAGCCACCAGGCTTGATTACTTCATGCAAAGTGTATCTCTTTGTTCTTGGAAATTGTACATGGAAAACCAAAATAGCATCTTTAGTTTTCATCCCACTGGTTCACCTCAAGGTTCAGAAACCAGAAAACATCTAAGACTTCCTGGATCTTTAAACATATGCAAAAAGAAGCCCTATATAGTGGGTACCCCTGCTCAGCCAATAAGTGCTTAAACCCTCAGACCCTCAGCATTACTTGAATTGAGCACCTCTGTCAGGCTGAGCAATGCTGTGATCACTATAGACAAATGTAAAAGAAACTAGAAGTCATTTTTGCCCTTTATCTGTTTTCCAGACAGATGTGTTCTGTGGATTTAGATGCTGGACCTCTCTTCACAAAATGGCACTTCTGGTTTTTATTTCTTTTTCTTCATGTGTACCTTTTAAAATTGCTGTCTCCCAGCAACACTTTACATGCAATCCTCTGCAGACCTATGGGTTTCCAGGCACAGTTGGATATGGTAATTCTAAGAGTGTCTATGACTTATTTGATTCACTTAATAATTCTATTCACAGCCAAAACTACCCTAGTGAGGAAGGCTTAAATATGCAAAGCTATATTATTTTTCTTCATTTTTTCCAACACATAATCCTCTCCAACTGTATCATAAATCAATGAACTAAAAATTAACTAATTATACTAACTCACTATCTTATTTTTAAATGAAATAAAACTAGAAGACAAATCGAAGTAAAACCTCAAAAATCAGTTGATCTACATACTACAGCAGAATGACCCAGGATCGATAGAAAGGAGCACCTAAAATTTCACATCTCAAAACTTTTACAAGCTTTGCTTTGGATTTTTCAAATGAGGCAATTTCAAAATGTTTATGAAAAAGCTGTAAATATCGGTAAGAATGAGCTTTCAGTTTACAGGCTTAGCTTTAATTTAACTGACAATACTGAATACCTAGATCAAATTTCGGTTCCCAGTTCCCCAAATAACATTACAGTATCTTTTGAACACTTTAAGATGAGGAGGATCCACTGAAAAAGTTAATGTATCCTTCCATCAGAATCCACTCTTCTAGAAATAAAGAAAAACTTGCAACACCCACCCCCCGACAGGCACGTGCACGTGCACACACAAACACTCAATCTAAGAGTCCAGTGGAATACTAAGAAGAAATCACTTCCTTGAAAAAACTTATTGGGGGGGAAAAAAAAGGCCTAGCCTCCCTTGAGAATCCATTGCCTCCTTGGAATGTCAATGTTTGTGTAGATGACACCATCTCATGCACTGTGGCTCCAGGGTTTCTGTTACTAGTTTATGCACTTGGGAGACTGCTTAAATGGAAGATGTAGCACATTTTGCTTTCCCATTTATTGTTTGGCCGGCTATGCCAATGTGGTGCTATTGTTTCTTTAAGAAAGTACTTGACTAAAAAAAAAAAAAAAAAAAAAAAAAAAAAGGAAAAAGAAAGCATAGACATATTTTTTTAAAGTATGAAAACAACAATTCTATAGATAGATGGCTTAATAAAATAGCATGAGGTCTAGTCGCCACCACCTTTCAACTTTTTATCACTCACAAGTAGCGTACTGTTCACCAAATTGTGAGTTTGGGGGTGTAGGGACAGAAGATGGAATTTTTGTAAAGTTAGAAGGCTCTGTTATTCTGCTGGCTCTCAAACTCAGCAAAATTAGCAATATGTTATCCAATGCAAACACCTCGATCAAGAGCATAGAGTATACATGGGGAAAAAAAGGACCTTACAGGCAAATGGCAGAACAAAACATGATGAAGTTACTTACTGATTTTTGTGCTCTCTGCTCTAAAACAGATATTCAACAAGTGGAGAAAATAAGAATAAAGAGATAAAATGCATAGATTAAATCTGCTAAAAATAGCTTCTGCCACATCCCCCTTAAGTCATTCTTTGGCATTTACTGATTTATAGAAGATACTCTCCCTTCATCTAAACATCTCAAAGAGCAGTAGCTCTCATAAAAAGCAATCACTGATCTCATTGGGAAGTGTTGGAAAGTATTTCCTTATGAGATGGGGGTTATCTACTGATAAGGAAAGAGAAGAATTTATGAGAAATCGTTGAAAGAGATGGCTAACAATCTGTGAAGATTTGTTTTTGTTTTTGTTTTTGGGGTTTTTTTTGTTTTGTTTTTTACTTTATACAGTCTTTATGAATATCTTAATGTTCAAAAATGACTTGGTTCTTTCTTCTTTTTTTATATTGGAATGAGGGATGATAAGTTAAACCCACATAGACTCTTTAAAACTATAGGCTAGATAGAAGTGTATGTTTGACTTGTTGAAGCTATAATCAGACTATTTAAAACGGTTTTGCTATTTTTAATCTTAAAAGAGTGTACTAATTTATTAGAGATGGTTCCTGTTTGGCTTTCTTCATAAGAAAGAGCATTCCCACTCAAATCACCTGGGCTTTCCCATCAGTGTTTTCAAAAGATAAATCTGATTTATCCGTCATTATGGCATCATTTATTTAAAAAAATTTTAATAGAAGAATTGTGATTCTTTATGCCCCTCTCTTGCAATGATCATGAAGTTCAGAATATGAGGGAGCAAAAACAAGAAGAAAATTTTGTTGATTCTTTGTTTTTGGTTTGTTTAAATGCTAGTGTTTAATCCTATAGTACATATTTGCTTATTGCTATTTTAATATTCTAAAAGACTTTCCTGTTAGGTGTTAGAAACTGATACATAGATATCTTTTTTGTGTGATTTCTATTTAAAAAAAAGGAGATGAGAGGACTGTCTGAAGCTTTAAAGTGCATATGGTACAGGATAAAGATACCAATTGAAATAACCAAGTCCTATCTAGAACAATACTTTTTTGGGGGAAACCTCTCATAGATAAGACAGAAGCCCAGGGAATTTTTGAAACTATCTCTATTCCTCCCAGTCCTTATTCATTTAGTATTTGCCTCAAATTTTTATAGAGGGGTGACCAAGCTGAAACCCTAGAATTAAAGGGACCTCTTTAAAAAACATATATTCCACATGTTCCCTCTTAATTTATGATTACACATTGATCTTAAACATGGTGCCTCTTTCTCCCCATTCTTCAGCTGTCATTGATAGGGTCTTTGAAGGAAAAAAAAATGTTAATTTTAAAAGGGGAACACAAAAGTCCAATGTTACTGCCCAACTGAAATGTGAGTTAAGATGGAGATAGTTTCTCCTACTTTATCCCTGCTGAATCACCTGATACCTTCGGAATGACCTTTTGTAAACCTTAGAATCTGCCTTTT